TAATTATTTTTCTCGTTATTCCGAATAATTATTTGCGTTTCTTTTTCAAACGCTCAAAGCGACTTTTACCAGATTCAAATGAGTTTAGTTCTCGTAAAGATATCGGATAAAGTTGTCCTGGGCACTCGGAAAAAATGAACAAAGTTAAACTGAAGTATTCGAATGTTTTAAATTACCGGTTTTACAATTTCACGACCGAAGAAGAAAATAAATTTAAACGTGTAATTTCAAAATATTTTCTACAGATTATTTACTAAAAATATCGCTGTATTAAATGTACAGCATTTCTTATATCTCATAAATATGTTTCTCAATTGTTTTGGACTGTCGTGACCACCCCAAAGTGGACAAAATAATTTGGTTCGAAGAGAGAAATATTGTGGAGGTCAGAAATGTTTCGATTTACCACGACAGAACCTACGTACTTTTCGTGACCATAATACACATCATAATATTTTTCGCTTCGAACAAATTTGTCGTGACCTGTTGTCTTGTATTAAAAATAACAGAAATATTAGGACGTGTAAGACGAAAATAACCATTTCGTTTAAAAGTAATTAATTAAATACGACTCGTTTAATTCGAATACACGAAATACGAAAGAATGTTTCACCCATTCGAGTCAAATCCGTGACTCAAAGTTGAGACTGTTCCTTAGACTTGTTTCTTCTTTTCCGTTTTTCATTTATTCTCGTATGGCCACACGCGTGACGAAATGACTAAAAGGGGTACACGAAAAAAGAAACGGAGTATCTGGAATATGTGGCATTAGTCCTACCACACTCATACGGTTACAGCACACGCCGGGAATCCTCGAACATAACCACGATGACTCAATTCCCATCTGTATTACTACGCCGGAAAGAAAACGGAACATCGAAATTGCCAACTACTGGAAACTCGCTGAAATATTCAGATTTTTCACAAAAATGAAACAACATAATTTCAATGTCAAAAACGCGTAACCATTTTGGTGGAAATTCAAACCTTTGAAAATAGGCAATTCGGTGAAAATTCAACGCCCGTTCTGAATTTTTTTCTCGAAAATGCGCAGGATTTCCGGGGTATGTCTATTCACCAAAAATGATTGTAATTGACCCCCGGAACTAAAAATAATTTTTCCAGAACGATTTGGAATTTTTTTTCCCCGTCAAAAAATTTCACACATTCTCGAATTTTTTTCTAGAAAATGGGTAGGATTTCGGGGGTATATCCATTCACCAAAAATGATTGTAATTAACCCCTGCAACCGAAAATAATTTTTGTAGAGCGATTTGAAAAATTTTTTTTCCGTCGAAAAATTTCACACCTTCTCGAATTTTTTTCTCGAAAATGCGCAGGATTTCCGGGGTGCGTCTATTCACCAAAAATGTTTATAATTAACCCCCGCAACCGAAAATAATTTTTTTTAAACGATTTGAAAAATTTTTTTTCCGTCGAGAAATGTCACACCTTCTCGAATTTTTTTCTCGAAAATGCGCAGGATTTCCGGGGTGTTTCTATTCACCAAAAATGTTTGTAATTAACCCCTGCAACCGAAAATAATTTTTGTAGAACGATTTGAAAAATTTTTTTTCCGTCGAAAAATTTCACACCTTCTCGAATTTTTTTCTCGAAAATGCGCAGGATTTCCGGGGTGTGTCTATTCACCAAAAATGTTTGTAATTAACCCCCGCAACCGAAAATAATTTTTGTAGAACGATTTGAAAAATTTTTTTTCCGTCGAAAAATGTCACACCTTCTCGAATTTTTTTCTCGAAAATGCGCAGGATTTCCGGGGTGTTTCTATTCACCAAAAGTGTTTGTAATTAACCCCCGCAACCGAAAATAATTTTTTTAAAACGTTTGAAAAATTTTTTTTGCATCGAAAAATTTCATATATTCTCGAATTTTTTTCTAGAAACTGGGTAGAATTCCGGAGGTATGTCTATTCACCAAAAATGATTGTAATTAACCCCTGCAACTAAAAATAATTTTTCCCCGGAATACCCCATTAAAATTTTTCCCATGGGTGGCCGAACACCCTGTATATCGTGGATATTGTAAAATTACGAAGCATCCATCGATTCGAACACGCCAGCTCGTAAAACTTTTAATTATGGAAGAACGAGATATGTTATGTTTGATTTTAACTTTATTTTTATATGGACTTTAAGCCCTATATGATAATGCATAGACGATAAGCACGCGGTACAGCAGCAAGACGTTCGAAACCTCCAAGGTAAAGTTAGGTAAACTTGATTCATTGTACGAACGTCCACGACTCTCGACAAGGAATTTCTCATAAGCGAGAAAGTGTATAATGCTCACGTGCAAACTGTTCGCCGACTCGTTTATAACATTTCTCGTCGAATAATTCTCCGATTCTTCTTTTTCACTCTGACGTCACAGAAAACACGCTTCACGACCACGCACTTTGCTTTCCAACGTTTCCCGATACTTGTATGCCAGATACAATCGTCCACGTTTAAGCCACGCGGAAACAGTGTGCCTTCCACATCGTAGAAACACTCGATACCATTCGCACAAATTTATCGCAAATAATTACCGTTGTCGGCGGACAAAAACTACCGGTGTTCGACGGGCCACAAATAAATACCGGTTTCCCATCCACGCTTGCCGCAAGATACCGCGCGACACGGAACAATGTTTACATTCACGGTCGTAAGTCGTGTTGTTATTGACACGTTCCTATCGCGGCACGTTCGAAAAGCCATTCGACTCGTATCGTTACCAAGAGAACTGTTCGCGAAATAGAAAAAACGAGAGAAAACAGATTCGCGGTGCGTCCGTTAGACCTAACCCATACGTGCACCCGTTGTCCCGTGGTAAAATTCGTCTACGTTACATCTCGCACGTAGACGCTTCCAACAATGATTCACTCGCGCGACGTGTTCATTAACGCTTAATTAAATGCAATTGCATGCAAGGCCTGGGCTATCATACGGCGGTTCAAAATATATCCGGCACTGATTGTAAATGTGCTACCGTGGACATGAAGCAGGCAACTTGAAGCACGTGCCACCTTACGCGTTGCAGTACAAAAACGGTCTGAGGCGCAGGTCTCAGCGGCATCGGCTGCCGTACGTGCTTCGGAATGTACCCGCCATATTAACTACAATTTCAAAGTCGACACCTAGCGGAAGAACTCCGAATTATTATCAAACATCCAATCCCTCTGGATAAACGGTACTTTTCAATGTACAGTACCGGATAAACATTTTTTGTTATGTAATTTCAGTATGTTGTACGATACGTGTCATATTGATTAATTAATGTATAAAAGAAGAAATAACACATGTGTCGTTGTAAAAAAAATTGATAAAAACCGTTGCAACAAACATATATTTTTATGTAAAAAAAAGTAAAAGAATCGTATAGATGAATTTAAGAGGTCCTGCAACTTTTTTTTAACATTTCAATTTTATACTCTTAGGCAATATACTTGAGAGTATTTCAATGAATTTTTACAGAATTTTCCATGCACATAAAACATGCTAAAGTCGCGTCAAACCTGAAAGATCACAAGCGTGATCTGTGTTATTCTTATAGTCTGTATATGTTATTCTAAGGTCGAGTACAATATATCCTTGCAAAATGTTTATCGATCCGGGACCGGAAAAAAAACTTTTTCGAAGATCGCTACCGTTTTATGTACACGCCAGAAGGCTTTTTTTTTATCTTGGACAGTCTCGTTTCATTCGGCAGACTAGGTAATCGCGATATACGCGCCAAAACAAAATATGTATTACAGAAGAACAGTATACGAGTTTCGGGTGTACCGACAGATAATTCTAATCATTTCTGAATTTTGCAAATATGTTCGTGAAACGGTACAAATAAAAGTTGCCTTTATCGCGTAACTGTCGCGCCGAGTTAACTCGGGCAATCGCCAGATGATTACGCCAAATTATGATTACAATTAATTACTAAAATAATCGATGAAATAAACTGAGCTATGTATAATTTCAAGCTCAAATTGTTAAACATACTTTTGCATTACTTATTTGAGAGATGGTAAAATCTTGCAAATTGATTGGCAATACTCTAACGAATGATCGATGTAAAAAATTTACATTTTTATTAGTGGATGAATCATCCTAGAACGTGCTTTATCATTTTCAAGCATCAAAACTGCACAATTTTAAAGTTGACAAACATCTTTAAGAAATTATATTAAGTGTTAAATAAATTGAACTGGAGAAACGTAATAAAATTTCATAAGCACTAATTTAATAATTTGAACCATAAACAAGACATGTGCAATTTGCATATACCTAAATATTATTAAACATTAAATATACTTACATTTTTCTGTTTGATATTTGATCTATAAATATTTTGGTATCAAATGAATACTTTTAATTAAATGTATACTTATCCGATAAAGTATGACAAATCAGTACCATAATCAATTAACTACTCAAGTCTGTCTCTCCGACCGTGAATCAGGCCAGACTCCTACTTTTGTGCCATGTCAGCTTTGCCTCTGACATTTAAGAGATTGTTTAAGAGAGAGAGACAGCGCAAACATGCAAGTTTGCGCCAAAAGATGAGAGATAGAGCAACGGAGAAGCCAAACAGAATGGCGGGGATAATTCTCCAGTGACCGTGAGCAGCCAATTGATTTTAATCCAACTTCGGCTAGTTATCTGCGCTCGAACATTGCAACGTAACTTGTCGACCTATTTTTTGTTACGGTTTTTCCGAAAATCATAATTTGCGCTCGACGCAGAACGTGTTAAATTAGATAAACGGCTCCAGATAAACGTACGTTCGGTTTAATTGATCGATCAACCTCCCTGATATACCGCGATAACAAAGACAGAAACTAAAAAAGCGTGCCAAATTATTTTTCAGACTTTATCAAAGTCGAATTACATTTCCCGGTTATCTTGATGCACACGTTCCGTCTTTATTGCTTCGATGTTTATACAACCATGAATAATCAGGCACTCGATTCTTAGGCTAGTCGAAAGTCGAAGAAACGTGTTACTTACCCTGTGCTGCTATTTGTGCCTGGTGTTGAGCCGCTGTTCTCTGTAACACAATAAAGTATCATAGATTAGTATAAAGCGATAAGTATAAATGCGATATAAAGCGAACGAATTTGCTTAAAAATTCTTTGAACGTTTCACCGTAGAGTAAGATAACAAGTTTTAAGTACATTTTGTAAAATCAAACGTATTCCCGACGCCTCGAGACTCTTCGAATCTAAAGAACGGCTCCTCGGTTTCGCGCCGAAGTAGTCGTCCTTCTTTCCGCTCTTTATCCATCGGAAATACGAGGACATGTTGCACTTTTAATGTATAACACGAATTCCACAATATTATCAGTCACATAACTTTACGTTTCATGGCACAAGAACGTTCACTGCACTCCGGTAAATTGTTCCAAGGTTCCCATAAAAACGTTCATAAAGTATTTATATAATTTTAGAACTAATCGGGACGAGTGCTATAAAAATAAAATTATTTTCTGTTACCAACGCGATCATAATCCTTAACGTGAAACCAAACCGGACAAATTGGCGTGTGTACACGTACGAAACGTGTAAATATTTAAAATTATTAAATCTAATTGGTAAAATCGCTTGCTACTTATGTGAGTTTAAAACTTTAAAAGAAACTATGTCCGCGATATCTCGTGGAACACTGTATACCCAATGTGATAACAACCTCGCTTTAAAATACACCGGCCTCACATTTGCGTTTCGAGCTGTTTACTAAGATAGTGTCTTTTATTTTTTTTTTTACGAACACTCGGTTTGTAAAAATATTGACAATATTCCGTGTGTTAAGTGTGAATTAATTGCGAGATTTTTGTTACGTTTATTTTAATGCAGTTATCAATTTTCAACGAGTTCCTGTAATTTAATATGACTTATGTTATACAGGGTGTTCGGCCACCTCTAGCAAAAATTTTAATGAGCGATAGTAGAGGCCAAAATAAGACGAAAATCAAGAATACCAATTTGTTGACGGAAGCTTCGTTCAAAAGTTATTAACGTTTAAAGTGCCGCCCTTACTGAATTTTTTTCTCGAAAATGCGCAAGATTTCGAGGGTATGTCTATTCACCAAAAATGACTGTAATTGAACCCTACAACCGAAAATAATTTTTCCACAACGATTTGCAATTTTTTAATTTTCTCGAATAATTTCACACTTTCTCTATTTTTTTTCTCGAAAGTGGGCAGGATTTCGTGGGTATGTCTAATGACAAAAACTGATTGTAATTGACCCCCGCAACCGAAAATAATTTTTCCACAACGATTTGCAATTTTTTTTCTCCGTTGAAAAATTTAGGCACCTAATTGGATTTTCAGTAAGGAATTTTTTTCTCGAAAGTGCGTACGATTTCGGAGGTATGTGTAATGATAAAAAATGATTGTAATTGATCCCCGCAACCGATAATAATTTTTTTAGAACGATTTGAAAAATTTTTTTTCGCCGAAAAATTTTAGCACCTACTCGATTTTTTTTCTCGAAAGTAGATAGGATTTCGGAGGTATGTGTACTCACCAAAAATGATTGTAGTTGACCCCCGCAACCGAAAATAATTTTTCCAGAACGATTTGAAATTTTTGAATTTAATTGTTAATAACTTTTTAACGAAGCTTCCATCAACAAATTAGTATTCTTGATTTTCGTCTTATTTTGGCCTCTACTATCGCTCATTAAAATTTTTGCTAGAGGTGGCCGAACACCCTGTATACGCATTGTCATTGAGCTGACATAATACGATAAAAATGCGGTTAAAAATTACACCGTGAAGGTAGAACCATTGTGAAGGGTAAATAAACAGTTGAACGAAACGTCGTCTGGCCCATATGTAACACATGTATGACGCAAATGCTATTACAACACCAAACGTCTCGTTAAAACATTATCGTCGTCGTTGAATTTATCGTAACGTTGAACGAAGCAAATCAATTTTTTTTTATATCGTCTACACATTTTTAGCGTAAACATGTTCCGTATACAATTAATAAATTACAGCAAAATAACGCCACGGACCAATTATTAGAAACAATTTCCACCGTGTGTTCTCAATACACCGCTGAACGAACAATAACTTGTATTCGTCTCGTGTAATCCACTTAAGATATGGAACTGTTAATTTCCCATTTAAATTCGAATCAATTATGCATTCGCGTAAGCAATCTTCAAAGCAGTCAATATAAGTCCTTTTACATTGCTAATGAAAGAATACCAGTAACGCGATGTCAGGCCACAGTATTAAAACAGTAACCGATAACTATAGTTCGATAAACGTAGCTCGTTCTATTTTTGAAACTATTACGATTACATTAAAACTGTGATTTAAAATTTTAACATTGAACTTCGTGTATGATGAAAAAGAAGACGATGTAAAACTACAAGAAAATGGTCGATCGTCGAATGAATATTTTTACTCTATGCTGATGACCCTTCCGTCTCGTTCGACTGGAACAATAGTCATGATTTACACAGGTTGTCGCTTCCGTAAAACGTTCAACAGGGAAAAAACGCATGACACAGTTTGCTTCTAAGACAACGAAACTAGGTCGGCAAAAAGAGGGGCTGCCAAACTGACTAAAAACAATACCCAGAATTCAATTTCAAAATACAGGTTACACAAGATTGAACGCGTTAAATGATGCATTCGAACTGAACATTTTCATACGGTTATATATATATTATTGTACTTTGTTCTTAATATAACCGCGTGTCGAGTTTGCGTGGCGTACGCATGTACGCCAGAAATTTGTGAAACTCGAAGAAGCATTATGCTCAAAAGGCAGTATACCCGAGCAAGGCGAAAGAAGAGAGCGAGGAAGGGTACCACGAAATGCTAGCTTTCAATTTAGAAGAACCGAACAATAGAGGAGCTTCGTCGATGAACTCGAGACATACTCCGTGACCGCAAGTCACCATTCAGCGTCTTCTATACAGCGGTTGAAAATACCGCAGCTCGATGTGAATCTCTTTTTTTTCATTCATAACGATAGATAAATGCATAAACAGGTAAGCAAAGGTCGCTTCTCGAACGAAATGGTATCGATAATTCCCAAGATCCAGCTTAGACGGACTTTATACCAAACTGCGCAATTTCGAAACATCGAAGGTCACGATGATACACCAATTACATTTTTTAAACTTAACATCTGAAATTCAAATTTTTATAACCGCGAACGTCGGCGTTGACGCAAAACAGGTCGCGAGGAAGACGAACCCTGCGCATTAAGTAATTCTAGAACGTGATTTTCCCACTTCTTTTCAAACTTTTGCTAGAAATTTTATCGTCCATGAAATACGTTTGTTCGTTGCGATTATAATAATATCCAGTTGAAGATATTCGACTCTATTTCTTTGTATGTATATCGAGTAGGTGTGATTGACTTTTTGCGACGAAAACAACTATTTACGGTTTAAAGAGTATTAATGTTTATACGGGTAGGATGGGCAATAATACGAGAGCGTCGTTTACGTTTAACAACCATCACAACACACTAGTCACTTTCTGTGGACTCGGGGATCAATCTTTATCAGCGGAGCGGATGAATTAATTCGAGACACACGTGATTCGACGAGAAAAGACGCGCACGCTTCCGTGGCACCTTCAGCGTTGCAAGTTCCGCGACTTACTGAGCGAAAAACGCGCCTCTTTGAATCTGTCTTTTCCTCCGCCTCGCATTTACACGTACACGCGTGCAAATCTACCGGTTACACGTGCATACGTACACACGGCTTCTCCCACCGAAATCTGTACGTCACATACTCATTCCCGGGTACTTAAACCACCTGCCCAAGGAACTCTATTTACATATTAAACCGAATCGTAGCTAATGAAAGATTTATGATCGCGTAAACTCGACGATCGACTTTGGCTCTGATGTAACCGAAACGTACGAGCAACAACGACGACCGTTTGTTTTTTTTATCGAATCTTAATAAACCGTGACGAAAGCGACGTTTCATTTCTCCGCGTTGATTCAAGCGTCTGTTTAATCTTTCGGTTAATCCACGCTGAATGGCGCACACACCGTGGAAACTGCTTGCTACGCCGGATTCATTGTTCTTTCGGAGTCTTTATTAGATAAAGGAACAGTGTTGTACGGAAGATAGTCCACGGAAAGAAACGATTGCCTCGAGCCGTGAATTCTTAACGAGTATAACGATATCACCGGTTAAATTCAATCCTGAGCGTCGTGAAATTGTCGTGGAAAAAAAGATGGAGAACGGAGGGGACAATTTCATACGGTGTAACGAAATTACCGACGGTATTATGATCGGGACGAGAAGTGAAACAGGTTTCGACGCTAACGAGTCACATGATATGCCCGGAAGATACGTTCAAATACGAAAAACAATTTCGCTGAAATGTGTCTCGGGAAAGATTATTCCAGCGTCTCGATATACGAAATGCAAACCGATTCAAATTGAACGATCGATGCGCGAAGTTATCATTTACATTATTATAGTAATAAGTAGAGGGGGGGAAAAATGTCTCACGGATCAATTTTCATTCGCGTGTCGTCGTTAATTTTAGCGGTAAATATACGAGTTCGGGAATCTCCAAGGTCCGAGGACCCGAGCGTTTACCAACGAAAGCACCAAATTTAGCAGAAGAAACTTATTAAAATAATCAGAAACGAGGCGCGAGTTAGCGACATCAATATTTGAACAGATGGAATTTACGGCTTCATTGCGAGAACCACGGCTGTTCAACAGTACGTTTCCTTTGATATAAACTGTATCACGCGAGACGTTAACAAGCGGTTCGAATTAAAATTTCTTAGCGAAATATTAGCGAACTGTACGAGATAGAGCTTGTTGCGCGAAATGTAAAATGGGCAAGGTTTTCTAGTTATAGCCAGCCGAATTGTGCGGAGAAAAGACGGAGACGCATAATCGTCGACGTCAAAACATGTGTTCTCTGCTTTCAAAGATCATCCTTTTGTTCACGGAGATACCATTGTTAGGGACGGACCAGCAGTGGTTGTTCGTTTTTAAAATGTCACGCTCTGCCGAGAGCAGAAACGTTGGAACGAAGAACCTGGTGCAATTTTGAGTTCCTCGTTTAGAACACGTAGTCGATACCAGAAAATTCGCAGGAAGAAAAGAGCACGCTATATCGTAAAACAACAAACAGTAACTCATGTAATATTATAATATATAAATATAACTGATTACACTTTAGAAATAAATGAAAACGTTAATTTTAACCTTTTTCACGAAGATTTGATCACCGATTGACATTCAAAAACCGGAATCACTCGGAAGCAATTATAAAAAAAAAATTAATTAACGATCAGACTGTATTTAAAATAGAATCGATGACTCATTTCCAATACTATCTTCAGCAAATTAAACAAGCTACCTGCTGAAGAAATATTAAATTCAGGGAATATTTTTCTATTTCAAAGAACAGCAACAAGTGAACTATAGATTTCCTTTTAATTCGTAATTGTCTGGTGCTGCAATATACACGTTATCTTCCAGTCAACAAGATAGCCTCGTTGAGTTATCTTGTACACCGTACTGAAACTGAGATTTAAAGAGAGTCCTTAGACCGAATTTTCGTTGAACGTATAAGATCTGGCTAGTTAGAACTGGCTGCTGAAGCCTTAAAGATGTTTAATGCAAGAAATTGATCTAAAAGGCTTGAAAAATGTTTACACTACATCCATGCGCGAACAAGTATTTTCCTCGTTACTTGTATTCGAGTGTAAACGCAAGAAAAAACTAAATGTGGAAGCAAACTCGAAACTACTAATTTCCAATATTGCTAGCTTAGTTTGTACAATTAGTAGCTCAACCAGTTAGCTGTGTTTGACGACTATATAAGTCATGTGTAAAATTAGTTACCATTTGTTATTTTAAATTTCAATATGTTTAGAATCTTTGGAGGTCAAAACGAAATAAAACAAACAAGTGCGCGCTATGAAAAGAGAGTTAAATTTGATCAGCAATAACGTTCAACAGGTTTTATTCTGTTTTTTCGAAAACTAATTAAATTCTTGCGTCAAATGGTGCGCCTTAAGAAAAATAATGTAAAATCGATTCAGTACCAGTGGACAAACGAAGGCTAATGAATGTATAGTATGTTTTAAATTTTATTACATACATTTGCATTCTAAATGAACCGAACAAAGTAACCAATACATTATTCTGCATCATATAAATGCATAAACATAAAAGTAGACAAAAGCAAACGAGTGTATATAAAGAAAGTAAGATTGTCCGATTCGTCGTTTCCGAATAGAAGATTTCATAATCAGAAAGTTTGAGGACCAATTGATACCCTTATTGACATACATCGTAGATCCTACACATCGAATTACACTAATTCTATTATAATCTTGAGCGAAGGTGAGCATTTGTTTGGATAGGACTATTATTTACTATGAATGAGCTATATCACTTGATGAGTATCATTCTCAGTTCCTACACCGCATGAAACATTATCTACTGGATCACATTCGTCGGGAAAAGAATGATATTTTTATCAATTGCTGCTCAGAAGGGTAACACAGAGATCTATTTCCAACGTGAATTCACGATGCTCGGTCGGTAAATAATTATTATGGAGTTTTTATGTTTAATCTTACAAAAATAACATATCGTACTCTTAGATGGTGCTTTCATCCTTCGTACTGTGCCTCGATGGCTTAATGAATCTCATTGGATGCTCGTTTTAATCTTGATCTTTAAATGCACGATTAATTTTAAACAATATTATCAATATATTATTGAGATATCAGAACTTAGCGCATTGAAAACCTTAACCGGACTTGAAAGACCCAGAATGTTAATGAAAAACAAGGGATTTCTAGTAGACTTAATACATCCGTGTTCCCTTATTCCGCGAGTCTCGAAACGCGTGAAAAATTCAATAGAAATTTCTCCGAAGGAACACATTTAAATTACTCACCGCTTTCCTCTTGTCCTCCGAACTAAGAGCACTGTGACTTCTGTGTCTGATGAGATCCATAACTTTGCTCACAGGGTTTCTGCTGCTTTCCGATCCTGCTCGGGGACGTCCCATAGATTCCTTTCCATCTTTGTGTTCCTTAGAATCTTTGTGGTGATCCTTATCTGTACGTACATCAGTCGACGAACTGCCATGCGAGCCTCTGTGCAAGGAATGCTAGAAAACAGCAACATTGAAATAGTATGACAAATCAGCCCAACGACTCTTTCAACAATACGCTGTTCAAATTAATTAGAGGATCACCATCATTGAGGTATATTTAATGCACAGTATTTAACCTATCCATGTGAGTTGGCTTATTACCCAGAATTGTCTTTTCAGAAACATGAACCCCCAATTGTTTCGAACGGCGTACGGATATTAATATTTTGCGGTCAGATGTAAATAACGAGTATTGACAACAAACTTCGGATATGTGCGTGCTTATTTTTGCTCTAGAATTACCAGGAAAAATTTGAGGCGCGACATTTTCTACCTGAATTTACAACCGACCGCAAAGTCTTAATATTGCACGTTAGGTTAAATAGTCGTAGCGTAAGCGTAATTTTACCTGCACAGCGCTCTTCATATTTGCTATAATACTGGGTTTCCTTTTACTAGCATCAGATTTGCTCCTCGGTCTAAACGCGTCAAAGAGTGCCGGTTTTCTTGTGGGGCTGGCGGTCTCATCGATAGTTCCGCCGCTTCTTCTACGTTCAGCGCTATTACTACGGCTATTGCTCCGACTGGTGGATCCAGACTGAGTGCCTGAAGCTTTCTTACCACCCTTGCCTGAACTCGACGAACTCGACGGCTCTGGTTGCTGTGGAAGAGGAGTCGACTTCCCGGAACCAGGAGCACTTCCCGAGGACGGCTTCCTGATAGTCCTCGAATGTGATCCCCATGTTCCTGCGTATAAAAATGGTAAAAATTCGGTATCCAACATTGTTTTCAAACAAACGGCGAGGAAACTAGCAGTTCTAGAAGCTATCATAACAAACTGTTCCTTGTTTGAGCATCGATACATTTATCGCGGAACGTGATAAAAAGTTTGACTGCAACATTCGATAGAACGATAAAGCGTGATTGTCGTACCTGCTCGCGGTCTGTGACCTTGATCCTGAGATGCATGGTTTGAAGTATCCGCATCTTCGGTTACGATTGTAGGCAGAGGCTGCGATCCGAGTTCCTGCAAAAAAATAACATATTCGTGATTAATTAATAAATACACCGCTAATCTATGAGTTTTGTTAAATACATTTCATTTGGAATAGTGTTTAGTGGAATTTCAATCACTTTCAATTACTACTATAAATTGAAGAGTACTATAAAACTTAAATACTGTAATCGATTACAATATATCAAGAAAGATGTATGAAAATGTGTAAAATGAAATGGGAAAACGCTTGAATCGTTGCAGTAATATTACTAAGAAATAAAATATCTGAGTAACTGGTGAATATTTATAATCAGACAGTTCTGATTAGACTCGAGGAAAGATCATATAGAACAACAGAGGTCATTAATCCGTAAAATATTTTTATATACGATTTTTACTTATTTTCTCTGTATATAGGGTGATTGTTCTATTACCAAGGACGTTAATACATAAAAATGTACAGGAAACAAGTTATTATGAAATTTTATTATCCGCGGATTTAAAGCTACAAAATACAACGATTAGATATCATTGTTTAATCTAGAGAGCTAGTTGATACAACGTTTTTTATTTAACGAGATTATCTTTCATGGCTTTTTTGCAAAGCGTCTCGAGAAGGAAATTTCGACTTGCTCAGATGTCTTCCTCGATAGAAGATATCTTCCGAGATATCCCCAATGAAAAAATTATGCGAATAACATTCCATTTTATCACAGAGAAGCGCGGATGGCTGTATATCTCTGTTGTGTCTTTGATCGAAATTTTTCTTGGGATCCATCAATTTTTATTACACGAGCGGTCGAATTTGTTTATTATTGACAAAATTCTGAATCGAAATAAATAATACATTATTCATCGTTCTACGCGTTCGGAAGTGGCACGGTCGGGAATTTATTAAAAGAGAAACTCGGTCGGAATTGCATTCGAATTTGATACAGCCAGCTGGCTCTTTCGATTTTCCGGTTGCTTCGCCATCAACGTCATACAGTACCAAACAAACGTTCAGATTTTATACTGTAATAAATTATACGTTTCAAGGGTTATTTTAAAGTCGTATCGTCAAAGATTTGTGTATTTTTTCGTGGCTCCCTCTTAACGTTCATTGCTTTTAGTCAACATTGATCGAAAGACGTTAACATTAAATTAAATAAGTGCATTGTCCTTCATCAATTGTACAGTGTTGCATAAATCCTCGAAATCCTTTTAATTATTTGAGAGATCAAAGACAACAGAAACAACGTTAAAATGGTTGTAGCAGAATGTAATTTCATCGTTCTTATCATATATGAGAGAATCATATAGTAATCTACTTTAAATTTAAACTAAATGGAATATTTAAAAAATGTTATTATACAGGGTGTTCGGCCACCTCTAGCAAAAATTTTAATGAGCGATAGTAGAGGCCAAAATAAGACGAAAATCAAGAATACCAATTTGTTGATGGAAGCTTCGTTAAAAAGTTATTAACAATTAAATTCAAAAATTTCAAATCGTTCTGGAAAAATTATTTTCGGTTGCGGGGGTCAACTACAATCATTTTTGGTGAGTACACATACCTCCGAAATCCTATCTACTTTCGAGAAAAAAAATCGAGTAGGTGTTGAAATTTTTCAGCGAAAAAAAATTTTTCAAATCGTTTTAAAAAAATTATTTTCGGTTGCGGGGGTCAATTACAATCAGTTTTTGTCATTAGACATACCCACGAAATCCTGCCCACTTTCGAGAAAAAAAATAGAGAAGGTGTGAAATTATTCGAGAAAATTAAAAAATTGCAAATCGTTGTGGAAAAATTGTTTTCGGTTGTAGGGTTCAATTACAGTCATTTTTTGTGAATAGACATACCCCCGAAATCTTGCGCATTTTCGAGAAAAAAATTCAGTAAGAGCGGCACTTTAAACGTTAATAACTTTTTAACGAAGCTTCCACCAACAAATTAGTATTCTTGATTTTCGTCTTATTTTGGCATCTACTATCGCTCATTAAAATTTTTGCTAGAGGTGGCCGAACACCCTGTATAAAAAAAAAACAGAAAATTATAAAACATAATAGTTTTTACTATTTGTCTTTGTCCTTATGTTATGAACTGAAAATTATTTGCATTGCAAATTTTAAAATCTAAATTTTAAAATAATTATAGACGAAAACAAAAACACGCATGGATATCTTCCTACTGAGAATACAACGATAACGTATTAAATCGAGTATTATGAAATAGAAAGTGTACAAATTGCACCTTGCAATAAAAACGGGGCCCATGTTATCGCGTATTATCTATCCTCTTTGAAAAAGAAGTGAATCGAATCTTACACGAATAAAAACGTACACACTCGCATCCCTATCAATTATTTTCTAAAACCAACGCGGCTCTTTAATATCATCATTTTGAAACGACTCTTTAGTTTGGTTAACGACGCAAATGTTCCGTACCCGTATCCTATATTCCGGAATAAAATCACCGAACACACTTTCCGCAGCATCCTGAAGTTTTCTCGGCACACAAGCTTTAAGGATCATATCGTGCTCGAACTACAAATCTCCACTTGTATATTTTCCCGTCGTCACAAACACGATGTTACACCGGCACGCGAGCATTTTTCACGATCTCGCGCTATTGTCCGTCTTCGCCGGAACCATCTTTTCAATTTATCGTTCGAATAAAGCCAACCGATGCTACGTCGATTCGAAGAAACAGTACGGGGCGCAAAGAATCCGTAGAGATGCAATCGATCGTTGTTATTGTATTCACGGCCGATAATATTAATTCCACTTCTGTCTTTCAGCAATTTTTAAATACGTTAAAATTAGAAATGCTTGGATTCTGAAAGCTAACGAATTGGCTTTAAAAAGTCGATAGAAGTTTTTACACGCTAAGTCTTGATACTTATCGTATCTCTAAATATTCTTTTCATTCATTTTTTATCACAATAAAGTAACAAAAAAATGCTATTCTATACTTTTATTAACAAATTTGTGTCGTAATATTTTTCCCGCGCTTAAATTTGAAACGACGGGCGAATTTTTAAAGAATTTTGAACCTGAAATTTATACGTATGATTATTGATTTTAGAATGCCAGTGTACGCATATGCTACTGATCCAAAAATTGTGAGATAAAATGATGTTCATAAAAAAAAAAATTGTAAAAAATTCGATGAAAGATTTTACTTATTCGTATAATAAATATTCGAGATGGACCTTGGTATTTATCGAGTATCATTCCATTTGCAAAATCGCTACTGTTCTTCCTCAACGCGTAAGTATACGTAAGAAAATCGCGAAATGTTTCGTTCGATGTTCCAAGCACGACTGGCATTTTGAATCATGGCTGCACGAGCTCAACGTCTGATACAAAATATCACGTGAGCTGCGTGATACAGCTGGCAGAGGAGCGTTACGAAACCGTAAATAAATCTCGGTTGAAATTTACAGAGCACAGGGAACAGGAAGAAAATTAAACACTTCAGCGACACGTGCAACAGACACAAATTTCTCAAAAAAAAAAAAAAAAAAACAATGAAAAGACTTAATCTTGTCATAGATCGTATCTTTACGAAGTACAGATCCCCCCTATAACACGGTACTCTTAGAACGCGTTTTCATGTCCCTCGTATAACACGTGTTTTCCCCCATATAACGCGGGGATTTTCCACGTTATATTTCTGTACTGTGAAATTTATAATGATTTGTACAGTTCATAATCAATTTCGCGTTTTTTATTTAAAATGTTCTTTGATTTTAATAAAATGCACACATTTCGTTCGTGACATAATTTTTCCTTAATATTCGATTTAAACGTGAATCATTTGTACATAACTCGTTTTCCTATAACGCGGAACCAATCTACCGTGTTATAGGGGGGGATTACTGTACACTCCAAATCGTATACATATGTGCTCACTATGTGTTTGATCAATCGAATGTTGCTCGAGTTCAGAACGAGAAACGTCACGTGTGTTGATTAAAATAAATATAGAAACGATCGAACACGTATTTTCTATGCAACATAAGGAAAAATGAAATCCAAGAGGTGATATGATCGAGTTGCAGCTATTCAGCGGTTCTCTTTCAATTTCATTCACTGTTCTGTCGTCAATTTCAACGAGCTCTGCATTTCTATTGTTCCCCGTATAACTGCATCATAAAATGACTTATGTATTTTACAGGATAAGTCATACTACGTACTTGACTCTCCGTATCTCTTATAACTTGGTATTTTAAGATTCGACAATGGGTTATAATTGTTATCTCGAAGATGTTAGTTCTAATTGTATAATCGTGTTACTGAAACTAATATGATTCATTAAAATATAACAATTCATCTTTCTTAATACTCGAATATTATTCTTTTTTTAGAACAATTATTTCTTTATCGACAGTATCGTCTTGATTCTTTATCGGTTTGTGACATGCACTGGACAGACCGTATAATATTATGAAACATTTTTCAAATTTTACAGAAATCTTTATCTGCTCTACCTTGCATCGACTTCTATTTATAGAAATGGAGATAAAACAACAACAGGAAGAACGCACACTCGTTGAACTTGTTGCGTTAATAACAAAAAAAAGAATAAATTTAAATATTTAATTTTCGATCGATTCTAATTTCGTACGACTATTTGTTGAATTTTTAATTTCGCAGATAGCGAAATAGAGCTGTAAGAACATAGATTTGATTCTTGAAAGCGAACCGATAATATTTATTTTTTTAAGATTGTTAACCGATACTAAACACGATCAACTCTATAGACTATTATTTAAGCCAGACAATCGACAGACACTGGTACACGATTAGGTTGCGCATACATGAATCACTCTACTTTAATCATAAATCTAGAGAAGAGAAAATTTGAATCCCCCAAGAAATTGGAAAGAAGAGCCAAGCGGAATAAATAACATTGCCCTTTGAAAAAGAACAAGACCGCTGTGGCCAAATAGAAAATTTGTGTCAGATCTGAATCGGATACTAAGTAGGACAAGCTACACCACAGCAAATTTATTCTGTGATCGATGCTGTGTTGCATGAATTTA